CAGAGTGAATTCCACCAAGAGCCACAGGAACTGGCCTGGGGCAGCTAGGGGATCGCTTTGATCAACAGGGTTATGTCAACAGAACTGCTGTTGGGTCGCTGGGAGGCTGGCCTTTTCTACCAAACAGATACTTATGTCTTTCAACTCCAGCCGCTTCCCACACGTCCTTTGTCTTAGCCTGTCCGGCGTTAAACAAGAAACATGTATTTCTCCCGATCTTAGAGGCTGGGAAGCCCCAAATCAAGATGTCCACAGATTCCGTGTTTGATGAGGACTCACTGGTTCCTAGATGGCTGTCTTCCCCACGGTGTCTTCAGGTGGCTGAAAAGACACAAGTACTCTCTGGGGTCTCTTTTATCAGGACACTAATCCTACCCTGAGGGCTTCCTCCTCGTGATCTAATCACCTCCCAAAGGCTCCACCTCCTAATACCATCACACTGGGATTAGGTTTCAAAATATGAATTTGGGGAGGACACATTCAGTCCACAGCATCCTTTAAATCAGCTGTTTTTACTGAAAAAAAATATATATCTATACTTTATTATTTTTCGAGGGAAGCATAGTTGACCTACAAGATATATATATTTAATGTTTGTTTATTTTTGAAGCTGGGGAGGGACAGACAGAGAGGGAGACACAGAATCGCAAGCCAAGCTGGCTCCAGGCTCTGAGCTGTCAGCACAGAGCCCGACGCGGGACTCAAACTCACAAACCGGGAGATCATGACCTAAGCCGAACTTGGACACTTAACTGACTGAGCCACCCAGGTGCCCCGACATAAAATATTATATTAGTTTCAGATTTGTGACACAGTGATTTGACATTTGCGCATAAGAAGAAATGCTCACCACGGTAAGTGTACTTACCGTCTGTCCATCTGTCACCGTACAAAACTATTACAATATTATCAACTACATTCCCTATGCTATACTTTTCATCGTTTTTTGTACTTCCTTTTTTTTTTAATTAAAGATTTTATTTTTTAGAGGTGCCTGACTGCCTCAGTCCGAAGAATGTGTGATTCTTGATCTCAGGGTCGTGAGTTCGAGCCCCATGTTCGGTGTAGAGATTACTTAAATAAATTAATAAAAAAATTTTTTTAATGTTTATTCTTGAGAGAGAGAGACAGAGACAGAGTGTGAGTGGGGGAGGGTCAGAGAGAGAGGAAGACAGAATCCGAAGCAGGCTCCAGGCTCCGAGCTGTCAGCCCAGAGCCCAACGACGTCTAACCGACTGAGCCACCCAGGCGCCCCATAAATAATTTTTTTTTTAATTGACTTTTTAAGTAATCTCTACACCCAATGCGGGGCTCAAATTCACAACCCTGAGATCAAGAGTAGCAGGCTCTACCGACTGAGCCAGCCGGGCAGCCCTGCTTTATAACTGGAAGTTTGTAACTCTTAATCCCCTTCACCTATTTTGCTAATTCCCCACATCCACCCCTCTGACAAGCACCAGTTTGTTCTCCGTATTTATGAGTCTGTTTCTGTTTGCTCATTTACTGGAAATCTACTTTAAAAAGAAAATTAGTATTGCTACATTAAATGGAAACAGTATCACTTCTGTACATCACAAGTAACTCTGTATGGTGTATGAATAATGGTCCCCGCAAAGGTATCCATGCCTTAGTCCCTGGAACCTGCGACCATGTGTGCTGGCACAGCAAAAAGGACTCTGCATTTGTGATTAAGGGTATTCCACTTTTAACATCAGTTCTGATGTATGTGGGTTTTCCCCCCACACCACCAATTAACTCAATTCTGACACCACCTTGCTGGACTGAGCGTCAGATCCCCCAGGTTAAGAGCTCAGTCCCACGTGACTGCCAATTTCCCCCACAGCTCAAGCCAATTGCAATTCCACATTGCCATCTGTGCTTCTGATTTATAGATCAGAGGTTCCCACAACCCCCTCCTTGGGTTGGATTTATTTGCTAGAGCTGCACACAGAAGTCAGAGAAACATTTTATTTACTAGATTACCAGTTTATTATAAAAAGATACAACTCAGGTGAAGCCAGCTGGAGGAAATGCACAGGCGGGGCACGGAAAACGGGGCGTGGAAAACTAACTGAGTGCCCCACTCTTCCCAGAATCTCCTCCATGTGTTCACCAGCCCCAAAGCTCCCTGAACCCTGTCCTTTTGGGTTTTTGGTGTTTTTTTTTTTTTTTTTTTT